CGCGAGTAGCGATGAACGCAAGCGTTGCATGACGATAATGTGCAAGTGGTTTACTCTTAGGTCGCATTAAGGAGATCAAGTGAAGTCAGACCAGGTCTGTGCAGTTTACATCATCTCTGATGTGGACCAATGCTCTGATGTAAATTCTTCCACATGAGTGTCCAGGTGTCATTGCTCTCACAGTAGCAGTGCACCTCGTGCCAGACCCTAACCATGCACGACAATTGATCGAGGAGGAACCAGTGGCATAACTTACAGAGCCGTCCCTGGGGTACGGCGAATTTGGGCGACCGCCTCGAGCCCTGCACTTTGGGGAGGCACCCCATGCTTCGACATTACGGTGTCAATGTAATACTTCCGGTTTAGGTTGAAGGCCCACACATTGTGATTTTCCCCGGGCTACCGGCACCCTCTATGCAGGGCCGGATCATGGTCCCATGAGGCCCCTGGGCACGTCTTTTGGAGGACCCCCCCCCCCGTATTCCTATATTGGTGTCTTTCTTGCCTTCCTCCTTGCAAATTCATCCACTAGATCGTCAAAATCTAGCTGTCTGACAAGGTCTGACTATTGACAATTGACAATGAGCTGAGACGTGTTTGGCACATGCTACTCCGTAGCTAACTTTTTATTCTGCCTAAAAGGGAAAATGTGCGCTCACCCTGGGAGTTTGTCACTGGCAAAGTTAGAAAAATCCGAAGTGCCACGAAAGCATTGAGGAACAATGACTGCAGATGAAGTGCCTGCAACGTCTCAAGCAATTTAGTTGGGCACTTCTCACCCTCAGTCAGACATGAAAGACTTTAATTGGATGAGTTCGTTGGCAAAGTTCATGTCTAGGACTGATGGATATGCAGCGGAGAGTGCATTTACCTTTTCCACTGACATTGTTAGACACCTGATCTGAGATAAACAGAACTCCAAAGAAACTGGTCAAATGCTTGTAAGCGCCCAAGCGATGTTCAAGGCATGCCACCAGCTTATCAATGACCATATACAATGTTTCTATTTTGAACTTCTCCCTCTCAAGTGTCAAACCTGGCTCTGAGCTCTCATCTGCAAATGTTTTTCATTTCCTCTTTCACTGAAGATCGTGCTTATATGACTGAGAGACACCTGTCACATTTAAGGCTGCCCTTTAATTAGCCTCAAACTGGTCTCGCTGTCCCACCACAAAATCCCTCAACGAAGGCAAAAGCTGTGCTGCTACAGAGATGTCAATGTCACTTTTCTGTAGGTGCATGCTTGTAGCGTGGAACCGGTCTAGTCTGACGTCCCAGAAATGTGCCATGAACACCATCTCTAAGGTGTCCAATTTAGCACACAGTCCAGAGGCCTCAATTCGAGTATCTCTTTCCTCATTATCATCGTGGCACATACCACCGAAGGCCTCTCTAATGTGGGTGTAATTGCTTCACTGTGCCTTGGTTGACTCTGCCCGAGTACTGGACAGTGATTTTAATGCCTGTCCGACATTTGTCTTCCGAAAGACTTTCCCCCATCTCTGTGTGGATGAAGAGCTAAATGTGTACAGTGACTGCAACATGTAAAAAAATTCGTCAGCCTCTGGGCTACTGCCGTCTAAGGTGTTAACACCAACTAAGTTAAGTGAATGCACTTCGCAAGGTACATACTCTATCAGAGGGTTTTTTGTTTCAGGTGGGCCTGTAGCCCATTGTATTTTCTTGACATGTTGCTTACATTGTCTTATGACTGACCTCTACAGTTTGAGAGGTCCAACCCAAGGCCCTCCACCATCAAAGTCACATAGTCTGCTCAACTTTTACCAGTGTGGCTCTCAATTGGTTCAAAGCCCAGGAATCGCTCCACTACATTCCCGTTGCTGTTAACAAACTGGAATATGAACGTAAATTGGTCCACATGTGACAGGTCTGGGGTGGAGTCAACAATTAATGAAAAATATTTGGGAATTACGAATCTCTACTGCTATTGTTTGAGATTTCTGACCCATTAGCTAAATGAGTTCTTCAAATATTGTCTGACAAATAGGACATTGTGCCTCTTCCTTTTCCGCCAAACTTTTTAATATATTCAGATAAGAATAGGTCAAATTGTTATATCAATTCTAGGATGTCAAGGAAATTACCGTTATGGGTTGACCCATACCATTCATCATCTCCCCTAAACACAAGTCCTCTATCACCCAAGAACTTGATCACTGCTACAACTCTTTTCAAAATGTCCCTCCAGTATTGACGTTCCCCATCAAGTTGTTGCATGAGATCTGCATCTATAGCACTGCCCATTGTCCGCTGGTGCAAGGCAAGCATGCATGATCTGTGTTCTGCACTCTTTTCATTTTCCCCTATTCTTTCAGAGTGCTTCCAGACACTAAACCCCTGAATAAAGCCACCCAGCTTGCTGGAGAACAGTTTGCATGCAAAACAGTACATACAACCTGTTGAGGGTGAGTACAGTAGCCACTGTCTAGAAACCTGTCAATTTGGTAATATACAGTTCAGAAGTTCATTACTGGGTATTTTTCACTGCGGTTTTGGATGGGGACTGCTCTTTCAATAAGCACTGACTTAACAATGTCACTGGAAGTGCTTTGCTATAATGCAGGGTCGGTGACCTCATAGTACCAGGAATGGCTTGGTTGCTGATTTGATTCTTGTGAACTGCCCAACTGCTCCTGAGGTGGAAACTATGGTTATTGTATACCATTAGTTGTTGAGGGTTCGCCTTCAAAGGATGGCTCTGGGGGAGTGACATTACTGGAAACTGAACTAGTGCTAGTTCCTTCCTCACAGCTGACAATAGTGCTGCTGCTGTTATCATTATTACTAGCAGAGGGTTTTTGAAAGAAGTTGGCAATGAGTGGAGTACTTTGAAGCAAAACTGCCTCTCTTGCCTCCTTTTTGGCTTTCCTTTTGGAAGCACCACTATTCCAATGTTTGTGGTCCATGTTTCAGAACTAGTATGCTATTTATATGAATATATTTATAGCATATCTCAATACTTATTAAATCATAATAGAATTAATATATTAATAATGACAACACCCTTCAAATACTGTTGTTGGAAAATACAATCAAGTGGTAGTTTTTTAAAAGTCTACTTGTCCCTAAAGGCAGCTTCGAGTAGATAAAAGAAAAAAATAGAAAAGCACAAAATCAAATAACCCTAACCCTTTAAAAAGGCTGTTAGAAAATAGCGCTTAGGAGGGATTGTTGAAATACCCTTTAAACAGGCTGTTGTTTTATAAAAAGATGAAAAATATATATGACTGTGGCGTACCAAGCAAGAAAACAGGAATCTGTCTGTGGCTTTTCTTACCAGGAAATGTCTTCTATACCTGCCTGACACAGAGAGAATTATGTCGCTTGAAATTAAAAAGATAACTCTTTTTTTCATTGGCTGAAAAACCTACAAAGGTTTCTGATGTCAGTGAAATGACTTGGTGGAGGCTATGCACATAGGCCACACCCCATCGATGGGGAGGGCCTATGCAAAAAATGAATGGGGTTTTCCTTAATCTTTAAGTATGGATTGGGTCTCATATGCGTTAGTGTATGAAAAAAAATAACTTTTGGAATACTTTTTTCATGTTTCACAAAACCGCAGTGTATTTTTAATAATTGATTTGTCAATGGCTAAGCTCTCAACAAACGACGAGCCCTTGGTTTCACTAGTTGGCTTTTTAGTGCAGCTAATTTGGTTGTAAGAGCAGCTAGCTGGCAAAAATGGCAGCTAGCTAATTTCTGTTAACAAGATCAATCATATGGGCAGCGAGCTAGGGCAAATGGGCAGCTAGCTAAAATAAAGGGATAGCGAGTTACGGTAAGTCAAATAATGAACGGCATTCCATAATATGACACTGTTCTGTTATGCAGAATGAACTGGCTTGTTGGTGAATATTGTATCATGTCACAGCATATTGTAGCGTGCCAACCAGTGGCTCAGTTGTACAGAAGCACTGTACTCTCCGAGAGGCTCTCGTTTTAAGCATATATGTATCAAGGGGCCCAGGTGTTATGCTCGATGTATACACCGAGAGGCCTGGGGGCCCTAGTGGTCAACTCATGCTGTAAGCACTGAGGGGCCTCACATTGTAAGCGCTGTGGGGCCCGGGAGCCTTAGTGGTCAGCTCACGCTTTAAACGTGGATGGGCACAGGGACCCTCGCACTGTAAGCGCTGAGGTGCCCAGGGGCCCTAATGGTCAGCTCACATTTCAAACACCAAGGGGCCTGGGGGCCCTCACATTGTAAGCGCTGAGGGGTCTGGGGGGCCCTAGTAGTTAGCTCACGCTATGAGCACCCAGGGGCCTAGTGGTCAGCTTGTGCTGTTCACACTGAGGACCCTGGCGTTCAACTTCCTTCAGATCTTGGGCCACGCACCGCGCGCGACCTGAGGCTTGGAGGCCCCCTGGCAGTCCGAGGTCCCGGGGCACTGGCCCCACTGGCCCGGTCCATAATCCAGCCTTGCCCCTATGGACGGCCCTGGTAACCTGGGTAGCTTGGGTGCTCGTGCCAGGAATTAAATGCCCCCCCCCCCTCCTATCCGGCACCCTCCCCCACCATGGGCCCTGGGCCCCTCCATCCCGTGGATCCCGATGTAATTACCCTGCCTGCACACATTCAGTAGCGAGGCCACGAGGTGGAGCGATCTGCTAATTGATATCGACTCTCACGATTTGTGCATTGAATCGCATGTTTAAGAAATTTGGTTTTATACTCTGTGAACGTGGTATGCAAGAGGTTCATGTCACCCGTGCCGCCACGTGAGACACTTCCATTCATTCATAGCAGAATAACAAAAAAACATCCTTAACTATGGTAATCGGACAACATATATGACTATATTTTGATTTAAAGCTTTCGTGACTGCAGTAATTCATATTCTTAGTTTTTTCGGTAAAGTCACGTTGAAGAGAAACAACAAAATAATAAAATATATAAAACAATAAAAAAATATATATTTTATTATTTTGTTGTTTCTTTTCAACGTGACTTTACCGAAAAAACTAAGAATATATATGACTATACTTTATTTCCACAGACGTATTTTCTGTATTTGTACTACAAATAATTTCAGCATGTGATATCCTCGATCATGATGTTTTCAAATGATCACAATAGGCTGTGGTAGATATTGACACCTGGTCACTAAAAGTAAATTTTGTCTCATCATCTACTTAGTGTGAAATGAAGTTACGTTAGAGTACAAGATGTTTCAAATGATTATTATAATGGAATCTTTGTTCAGGAAATTAGAATACATTTAGAATATAATGGATATGGTCAGGACAAATTTGCATATGGCACTTATTCGTGCTAGAGTGTGCTGGAAAAATCACAGCTTCTCGGTATCCTTGCTAATTGCCATGTGTATTCCGTTGAGACGCCTACAAAAATAACTATAAAGGCAGAGTTATTTTTAACCAGTTACCTAAAATACACTTGAGGTAGTTTTGCATAAAAATCTAATTGAAGAACTGCTGAAAACACGTCGTGTTATATTATTCTTTACAACTCTTGTTTAACACTTTACAACTCGGGTTGAAAGCGTTCATGCATTAGCTCTATCCGTCTCTCGGGCTGTGTGTTTGTTGGCAAGATACGGGCATGATAACTCGTAGTATTATCCATACTATTCATATTTAAAACTGGACAAATTGATCCAAGCCTTTCTCAAAAGCCGGCGATATTCATTCGTTGCAAATAAAAACCTGTGTAGGACAAACGCATGTTGAAAGCATTGCAGAATTCACGCATATACATGTCTTCCTTGTTTTAAAATCCATGTCACATTCTGAATTGCGCAGCCTGTCCATAGTTGTTACTTGCAGCAGGCGCCATTCATCGCTGCCACCGCCACTAATCAGATTGAGTTGCGAATGTGCGATGCGCTGAGTTGATTTTACTCCCGTAAACGCTCGGCTAGCATAACCACCCACGCTCCCCATCTGTTCGCTCAATGTGCTCCCGCCCACCCTCGCGAAACTGCCGTTAAACCTGACCTATAAAATGTGATTATCACTTCGCAGACGAGGAGCGAATGTGTGCCCGGGGTTCGGCTGCGACCAGGAACTGGTGCCAGCGCCTGCGGCTCGGGAGACCCAAATCAGAGTACGGCTTCGATTTGGGTCTCTCGGTTGCCTTTGAAGTTATCCCCAATGGCTGAAATCCGGGAGAGTAGTTGTGGGCTAGGAGAGCTGACCTCAGTCAAATGTGGTTTAGTCTTCGGCAAGGGGGGCTCAGCTCCATTCAGCTCCCCCCCCCCCCCCGAGATTGAAATAAAAATATGGTACAGAATTAAGTATAATTGATTGATGGGCATCCCAGCCTTTCCTCATATGCAGGGGGTGAGAGCCTGAGCAGAATCCATGATGGACAAAAGCAGATCACATTGTCGCTCATCTTGCTGAGCGTTTAACATTTGTTTGTAGTTTGTTTAACATTGACTGCATGGAGCACCCACCCCCCATCTGAGTTATTGAATGCAATCTCTTTACTCATGGCCATGCCCTCGAGTTGATGTGGTGTGGAGGGCGCAGAGGTCAACATATCGTGCCTGTCTTGTGTGCACTACCGTTTTAAAGATGATTCCGAATGGCTGATTATTTATGGGCTATTTTGTAAGTACGTTTATATTTACAGTTTTACTTAACATGTCAGCACAACGTCACTGTTTTATTGAGTAGCGTGTTATTGTGATAATATGAAGATAATATTTAGGTGCAGTGGATAGGTATATTTGTATCTCTCGTTTGAGTTAAATATATTTGACAATAATAACAAATTATCTGCGCACCATTAGCAATGCCACGTCAAATATTGATTTGTGTGATGCTGTTAATTCTGTTTCAGGTAATTTCAAATTAAATTAGCAGTGTTTACATTACACAGTCACATTTAAATGCAGCACAGTGTGTTCTGCTCTAGAACATAAAATTAACCCCAATAAAAAAAATCTAAATCACACCCCCTTCTCTTTCTCCCCCTACCTCCCCCCCACACACAAAGACAAAGAGCAAATTTCCCCTGTAGCCATACAGTACCTGTTAAGCCCGGAACAGGGCACCAGGGGGTGGTGAGGCAGCACCATGTCTGGCCAACTTTGTTTCTCCAGTGGTGATGTTTGTGCAGCTCCTAATTTAAGACAGATTCGACCTTGGGGAGAACCAAGATCGCTTCATATATTTATTAATTTAGTTTTCTATGAGTGAGAATTTAACTTGGGTTGTCGTGTTTGTAGCATTGTAGGCTAACCACTACACTCTCGCTTCTCTCTTTCTCCCATCACACAAACACACCAACACACAATCACGCCCAATGTTCTCCCTTCACAGTAAGTTGCCGAGCTGGGCTAAGGTGGTCGTTCCTCGGATTTTTTATATCACGGAGAAGGCATGGAACTACTACCCATACACGATCACAGGTGCGTGTCCCTGAGAGCCTACCCGTCGTGCCCAGAAAGCTTTTGCCACGAGTGCTGCAAGGATTCAGCGTTGCAGTGGAAGCCACCATATCAGTACAAGTGTCACCCGATATCTGTTTAATGTTTATCTTACTTAATTGTAATTGTACCATGATCAGTCAAAATAATCTGCCGTGCCGTATTATGCTACAGGGAATGTATTATTTAACATTCATTAGGTTTTTGCAATAAATGAAATTTTTCATGTGATAGTTGTTTTTGCCCTGATATATATTTTCTCAATTGCTGTACTTTACTTCTTTTGTTTTGCTTTTATGACTTTGGTGACCCTGGACGCTCTTGTAAATGAGATAATTCTGATCTCTTGAGTTCTCACCTGGTTAAACAAAATATACAGCAAGGACTGTGCATTAACAATATCAGCTTTTAATTCTTAGAGAAAGCGCATGGGTTAATGAGATCATTCAAACTGTTAAGAAAAGCAATTGGCCTTTTGGGCAGGATGTGTCGCTCAAAGATGATGGCCAATGGCCAAGAATAATAATGGAGTGGCAGCCAAGGAATTTAACACATCCGAGAGGGCGTCCACTGGGGAGATGGAGCTGTGAAATCCGTTTGCGTGCAGGTGCGCGAGGTCAATTTTTGCATCGCAGGACAATGGGAGGTGGTGGCCTTTTGGGGAGGTTTTCATTCAGCAGTGGATAGATCATGGCTCATAATGGTGACTTCCAAGGCAGTCACTGACAAAAAGTCATGAAGCTGTAGCAGACCTGTCAACTGATGTCAGTTGTATTCGGGTTGAGGAAAGGTGTAGCGGCATGGGGCTTTTTAGACTCTGCAGCAGGATCAATGCGTTGGTGTTTTTGTTATTTTAACGCCATGTGGGGTGGAGGGGAAACATGCGTGTGCGTGCGCAAGGAAATGGAATTTGTGATTTTACTCCACGGTGCCACTAGGGTGCGTAGGTTTCACGCAATTCTATTGTTGGCACCAATCGCTCTAATGTGGGCTCAGCCGTTAGGAAGGTGGGCCTTGAGTGAGATGCTGCCTGGCTTCAAGGCGCCATTCTTGAAGCATGGCCAGGCTTTGATGGAATGCTCATGGCGCTTGTTCTGAGCAGCTGGGAGTTCAAGCGTGTTACAATGCTGAAATTAGCATCATGTCACGAGACTAAGAATCCATGTGGAAATCTCACATAGCAGTGAAATGTGGAAGGGAATGGCATGTGGCAGAGAATTTTCACAAGATTCCTACAAAAATTCCTGAAGTGACATTTTTAGCCTTCTATAGGGGGCGCACTTTTCCACAATCTATGAGATTGTCCCGTGATGGTCAGAGCGTAAAAACTTAGCCAAATAAAGTGCAATTTAAAACTTTACATGATGGGTGGACGTACCTAGAATATATTAGGAAGCCACTGGATCTATGTGCATTTAAATCTAAATTGAAAGCTAATTTCTTTACCACTGATTTTTGTATTTAGTTTATTGTTCTTCCCCCGCACATCCAATTAGCACAGTTGGCTATGTACAGAGCAAATTAAGTTCAACATACGTACATAAACTCAATACACTTGAGAACCTAATTTTTATCATGGGTAGTTAGCCAAATTCTGATCCAGAATCTCAGCCGTTCAGCTTCGTGCTTCGAGTATTGAGCCACCTGGGCTTCTCCAAGGCGAAGGTTTACACCGAGGCAAATTATTGAAGCAGTTCTGGATCAAAATGATGAAATAGAGGCAAGCAAGAGCAAATGGAGTGCTTACAGAAACACGTATTTGACTTAAATTTTGATTTAAAGCTTTCGTGACTGCAGTAATTCATATTCTTAGCTCGTTCGGTAAAGTCACGTTGAAGGGAAACAATAAAATAATAAAATATATATAAAACAATACAAATTCTCACGACGTTTCGACCATAACACAAACGGTCGTCATCAGGTGTGAAAAGCAACGGCAAGAAACATTTGAAAGAAGTGTCGGTCTGCATTAATTAATTTATTTTTAAACGGTGTATTTATTTATAAAAAAAACGTCAGCGCCACGCGCAGCGATTTGGCAGTTTATTTAGAAGGACGAGTCCATCTATGTTCTGAAAAGAGGAGGGGGGAGACGAAAAATTAATGTATGCTGTCTGAAAGCCACCGTAAGCGTGAACAATCAATTAAGACCTGAAATGGTTTATCACATCCTTCCAATGATTGCTAAGCCAGAATCCATCTTCTCGGTTTAAATTGTCTCTGTGCTTGTATATGTGGATAGCCTCATGAACGAGTCTCTCATGGTAGCCAGATGGCTTACAAAGAACCTCTGTCTTGGAAAAGTCAATGTCATGTGAGCCTACTGAATTATAACAATGATCTGCCACGGCCGAGGTGTTGGTCCTACCGTGTTTAAGGTCTGCTTTGTGTTCACGAATGTGGTCTGAGACATGGCGTTTGGTTTCTCCAATGTAACTACTACCACAGAGGCAACTTAGTTTGTAGACACCAGGGTACTGTATGGATCTTGTGTTTATTCAAGATTTTGGAGATCTTTTTTGTGATCCCCGCAATGTAGGGTAAAGTGATGGTTTTGAAAGGCTCCTCAAAAGGGTCCTTCATGGTTTGAGTGATAGCTTTGCGGATTGTATAGTCGGAGTAACCATTAGCCTTAAGAGCTTGGTGGACGTGCTTGAGTTCACTGCTTATGTGTTCCTGGTCGGATATGCATTGGGCTCTATGGTACAGAGTCTTGATGAGAGAATTCTTCTGTGATGGATGGTGGTGGGAATCCGGTTTCAGATAAGCATCCGTATGGGTAGCTTTCCTGTAGACAGAGTGGCTCATTGAATCATCAGGTCTCTTTTTTATTAGGACATCCAAAAAAAGGTAGCTTGCCATCATTTTCGACTTCCATGGTAAATCTGATGGCTGGGTGTATGGAATTGATGTGGTCGAAGAATTGGTCTAGAGTAGGCCGGCCATGTGGCCAGATGACAAAAGTGTCATCCACGTACCTCTTCCATAAGGTTGGGCGCAGAGTGGCAGTCTGGATGGCATCAGTCTCAAATTTATCCAGGAAAATGTTAGCTATATCCGGAGATAGGGGGGTGCCTATTGGGGTGCCCTCAGTTTGTTTGTAGAAAGTTCAATTCCAAGTGAAGTATGTATTGGTTAAACAGTGTCTCACCAGGGGGGGTACCTCAGTGTTTAGTCCTTGATGAACCAAGTCTTCAATGATTGCGATGGTGTCAGGTACAGGAACCTTGGTGAATAAGGACACTACATCAAAACTGACAAGCAGGTCGTCTGGGGACAGGGAAATACCCTTGATTGTCGATACCAGGTGAGTAGAATTTTGTACCGCAGAGGTGGTGTTTCCAGTGAAAAGACGCAGGATTTCAGACAATATGACTGCCTCTTCAGCTGCTACTATGTCGACCAAATGTAAGGACAACCTGATTTCCAAATTTAACCTCCTCTTCAAAAAAAGACCGGACCCACACACCAAAAAGTTAGACGTTAACAAAGCCGTAATTAATCGCAGTAACAGTTCTGTTTCCGATGGTCTGAAATCCGTTTTAGCTAAAGGTCTAAACTTTGCAGTCATACCTAAACACATACCAGTTAATGATATAATTGCCCAAGTTGACGTTGCTCTTAGGGGCCTGGGTCACATCGCTGCAGACGTACCAAGATCTGAAATCGCTGCAACCCTCAAAAAAAAAAGATGCCAGCTAGCAACCTCAGCAAAGATGAGCGTTTTGAATTATATAAATTAAAAAAGAGGGATGACATTGTAGTCCTCTCAGCGGACAAGGGCAATGCTACTGTCATCATGGGTAAAATAGAATATAACAACAAAATTAAAGAATTACTCTACGATGGTAGTTATACAAAAATAAAAAGAGATCCCACCAACAGCCTCGTCACACAAACCAACAAAATAATTTCTGATTCAACCGCATTAATTGATCAATCTAAACAGTTTTCGTTGAAACCTTCTGCTGCCAGGCCACCAAGATTATACGGCTTACCAAAAATACCTAAAGTAGATACACCCCTTCGTCCCATCGTCTCTACTATCAACTCCCCCACCTACAAACTGGCTCGTTTTTTGTCTGAAATCCTGCGTCCTTTCACTGGAAAAACCACCTCTGCGGTACAAAATTCTACTCACCTGGTATCGATAATCAAGGGTATTTCCCTGTCCCCAGACGACCTGCTTGTCAGTTTTGATGTAGTTTCCTTATTCACCAAGGTTCCTGTACCTGACACCATCGCAATCATTGAAGACTTGGTTCATCAAGGACTAAACACTGAGGTACCCCCCCTGGTGAGACACTGTTTAACCAATACATACTTCACTTGGAATGGAACTTTCTACAAACAAACTGAGGGCACCCCAATGGGCTCCCCCCTATCTCCGGTTATAGCTAACATTTTCATGGAGAAATTTGAGACTGACGCCATCCAGACTGCCACTCTGCGCCCAACCTTATGGAAGAGGTACGTGGATGACACTTTTGTCATCTGGCCACATGGCCGGCCTGCTCTAGACCAATTATTCGACCACATCAATTCCATACACCCAGACATCAGATTTACCATGGAAGTTGAAAAAGATGGCAAGCTACCTTTTTTTGGATGTCCTTATAAAAAAGAGACCTGATGGTTCAATGAGCCACTCTGTTTATAGGAAAGCTACCCATACGGATGCTTATCTGAAACCGGATTCCCACCACCATCCATCACAGAAGAATTCTCTCATCAAGACTCTGTACCATAGAGCCCAATGCATATCTGACCAGGAACACATAGGCAGTGAACTCAAGCACGTCCACCAAGCTCTTAAGGCTAATGGTTACTCCGACTATACAATCCGCAAAGCTATCACTCAAACCATGAAGAAAGACCCTCTTGAGGAGCCTTTCAAAACCATCACTTTACCCTACATTGCGGGGATCACAAAAAAAGATCTCCAAAATCTTGAATAGACACAAGATCCAGGTCCGTTTCAACACATTACATAAAATCCGTGATCTGGTTCCATCTGTAAAAGGTGTGATTCCGGACATACAATACCCTGGTGTCTACAAACTAAGTTGCCTCTGTGGTAGTAGTTACATTGGAGAAACCAAACGCCATGTCTCGGACCGCATTCGTGAACACAAAGCAGACCTTAAACACGGTAGGACCAACACCTCGGCCGTGGCAGATCATTGTTATAATTCAGTAGGCTCACATGACATTGACTTTTCCAAGACAGAGGTTATTTGTAAGCCATCTGGCTACCATGACAGATTCGTTCCACATATACAAGCACAGAGACAATTTCAACCGAGAAGATGGATTCTGGCTTAGCAATCATTGGAAGGATTTGATAAACCATTTCAGGTCTTAATTGATTGTTAACACTTACGGTGGCTTTCAGACAGCATACATTAATTTTTCGTCTCCCCCCTCCTCTTTTCAGAACATAGATGGACTCATCCTTCTAAATAAACTGCTAAATCGCTGCGCGTGGCGCTGACGTTTTTTTAAAATAAATGAATACACCATATTCTTAGCGCTTTCGGTAAAGTCACGTTGAAGGGAAACAATACAATAATAAAAAATATATAAAACAATAAAAATTCTCACGACGTTTCGACCATAACACAAACGGTCGTCATCAGGTGTGTCGGTTTGCATTAATTAATTTATTTTTCAACGGTTTATTTAAAAAAAAACGTCAGCGCCACGCGCAGCGATTTGGCAGTTTATTTACAAATAAATACACCGTTTTAAAATAAATTTATTAATGCAAACCGACACTTCTTTCAAATGTTTCTTGACGTTGCTTTTCACACCTGATGACGACCGTTTGTGTTATGGTCGAAACGTCGTGAGAATTTGTATTGTTTATATATATATTATTATTTTATTGTTTCCCTTCAATGTGACTTTACCGAAAGACCTAAGAATACGTATTTGACTGTTTAACACGTAGTCTTTCATGACCAATATAATCCATAATAGAGGTTTCTTGGGTTAGATCGCGTAAATATATAAATGTGTCATTAAAACACGCCACCACCTGACATAGCTAACTCGTAAGGGTTGTAACATAAACATAACATGCCAATTCGTCACTAGTACAGCACACCGGTGTGTTGGAGAGCCAAGCCACAACATTTACAAACTGAGTACAATGTTTTGCCAGTAATTACAACTAGCTTCATCAGGCGACAGCAAGATTTGTGGAGAAGTCTTACTGTTTCGTTTCTTATATAGAGGCGTAGATGTGTTGACCACGCTTCTGTGCTCTTGCACAATGTGGGGGGGGGGGGTGTTTACTGAGGCAACGTACATTATGTATGTGCATTATGCAAGCCCTTTAAACTTATCCTTCCTGTCTATTGTGTTTATTAAAATAGCCCTACCAACCGTAATCCCTATTGAAGTACGCTGCCCTTTGTAGGCATGCATTTAAATAATGTATTATTTGATGATTCGCTTCCACGCACCACTAAGACGGTAGCTATCCCAACGGTTAAAGTTATTTTTTATTTCTTTCAATTTCGATAGATTCTCTTATTAGTCTTGGCCAGTAGTAGCTAGTATTGCACAAAACTTCAACATTATCAAAATCAATTGAGTGTCCTTGTTGGCATGCGTGTTCTGCTACTGCCGACAGTTGCATTTGGGAAAATGTAATATTTATCTGATGTTCTTTTATTCTCGTGCTGATGATTTGTCCTGTTTGCCCAACATAACATTTACCACACGTGCAGTTAATCCTGTACACACCTTCTGTTGATAGCTTCGGTAATACACCTTTTGTACCAGGTCTTAAATTCTGTATTTTATGTACCATGCCAAATCTGACTCGGATGTTTTGTTCTTCCAAACATCTGGTTAGTTTATCAGTTACTCCCGCAATGTACGGCATTTTAATAACTTGGGCAGTTTCAATGCTCTTGTTATTTGATTTGGTTTTGGTATTCAATGCCCTGTTGATTTGTGTATCATTGTAAGCATTAATTTGCAGCGCTTCTTTAACATGTTGAATTTCACTTCTCAGACTGTCACCATCTGACACTTTCTTAGCTCGATGAATGAGCGTCTTGATAAGAGCAGATTTCTGTGTGGGGTGATGGTGTGACTCTGCATTCAGATAGGCGTCAGTCTGCGTTTTCTTTCAGTAAACACTGTTATTTTACCATTTCTACCCCGTCCGAGCAGAATATCCAGAAATGGTAGAGTTCTGTCAGCTTCCACTTCCATGGTGAAATGGATGGATGGGCTTTGCGAGTTGAGATTATTTAGAAATGAGTTCAGTGTATCTTTGCCGTGTGGCCAGACCACCAATGTGTCATCCACATATCTAAACCAAGCAAATGGTTTTAGTGTGCTTGAAGCTATTGCTTTTATTTCAGAATCTTCCATGTACAAATTCGCTATCACAGGAGACAAAGGAGAGCCCATTGCTGCTCCTTCCTTTTGTTTATAGAAGTCACCTTGCCACAAGAAGTAAGTGTTCTTTAGACAGTGTTCAGCTAGCCTTGAGATATATTTGGCTAAACCTTCGTTACCAGAGTGTCGAGTAATTTAATTGACTCATTGACCAGAACCCACGTGAACAGAGAGGTCACATCGAAACTTACGAGAATATCATTAGGATTAAGCTTAATATCTTTAATTATATTTACGAGATGTTCAGAGTTTTTGATGTGCGAAGAGGTCCTACCGATGTAGGGCTGTATTTGTCAGGTTACGTATTGTGCTAATTTGTACGTGGCAAAGCCTATTGTACGAACTATGGGTCTTAATGGGACATCAGGTTTGTGAATTTTTGGTCGGCCATAAAGTCTTGGTGGTTTTGATGCCCCGTGAGGACTATGATAATAAAATACAAGATTTACTCGATGAAGGTACCTACGTTAACATTAAACGAGACCCAACCAGCACCTTGGAACGTAAAACAACGGCAATCATTGCCAAGTCATCAATTCCCAAGGAAGAGCAATACCTGATCAAACCAAGGGCATCAAAACCACAGGATTAACTGCACGTGTGGTTCATGTTATGTTGGGCAAACAGGACGAATGATCAGCACGAGACTAAAAGAACATCAGAGAAATATTAAATTCTCCCAAATGCAACTGTTAGCAGTAGCAGAACACGCGTGCCAACAAGGACACTCAATCGATTTTGATAATGTTGAAGTTTTGTGCAAAACAAGCTACTACTGGCCAACTAATTAGAGAATCTATGGAAATTGAAAGAAATCAAAATAACTGGAACCGTTGGGATAGCTACTGCCTTAGTGCTGCGTGGAAGCGAATCCTCCAATAATACATTATTTAAATGCATGCCTACAAAGGGCAGCATACTTCAATAGGGATTAACGTTTGTTGCGGTTGCACCCGATTCAAGAGCCGAATGGCTCACAGGGCTATACCAAATAAATGCACTGAAATTAACTGAACGTTAGTAAGGCTATTTGAATAAACACAATAGACAGGAAGGACAAGTTGTGCAAGAGCGTAGAAGGGTGGTCAACACATCTACGCCTCTATATAAGGAACGAAACATAAGACTTCTCCACAAATCTGGCTGTTGCCTGATGAAGCTAGTTGTAGTTACTGGCGAAACGTCATACTCAGTTTGTAAATGTTGTGGCTTGGCTCTCCAACACACCGGTGTGCTGTACTAGTGACGAATTGGCATGTTCTGTTTACGTGACAACCCTTACGAGTTGGCTGTGTCGGGTGGTGGTGGGTTTTAACGAAATATTTATATATTTACGCGATCTAACCCGAAACAACTCTATTATGGACGTATTTTACTATGAAAGGAACCACATTGCTTGATGTGGCTGGAGAATAACGTTTTACATTTTGCAACTGTGACATGAATCAGAATCTTAGACGATGGCAAACAAAATGTAAAAAAGACATACTGAAAGACAGAAAGAGGAGCTCTTGGATCAGGGAACAGACAATTTAAACATTTTGAATAATTGTCAACAATCGTAGGACTGGGCAGGACACATCATGGCTAGAAAGGTTGGTTGTCATGGACAGAATGGAAGCCAAAGAAGAGAAAGTGGGCAAGCTTTTATCCAGCAGTGGATTGACCATGGCTGATGATGATGATATTGATAATACACCAAGGCCACAAGGTCTATGTATATCGGAACAAACACAAGCCCCTATAGTTGTGAACACTTCAACATTACTCGGACAAGCAGATTATCACAAGGCAACATACATCATCAGTCCAACCCCAGTGCTGCAGTAATGTGTTTTTCATTTGTAATTTGGATGTCAGATGCATGAGGTGTTGGTGTACAGTGAGCTTAACTGAATTGCCATCAATTTACAGACTTTGTTTTCAGACATGCCTGGTAGTTGTGCTATAATAAGTTCTAGGAAATTTGGAAGAAATTGTATTAAATATAAATTAGTTCAATTCGATTCTGTTTTGTGTTTTGATCATTACATCACTGTTGACGCCTGCATTTTACTGCCTTTGTGATAAATCGGCATGGTTAATAATATTGTTTTCTCATTTTGTTTTTTCTCTCCGAACTCCACTAAATATCATCACTCTCGCCAGAATATACGGTAAGATTAATTCGTAACGTTTTTAACACAACTGCCCACTGAAAGCTCATAAATGTGTTAAAAAAAATATTGCAGCTCTACGTTCTTATGGTGCCAATGCAGTGTGTGTTTGTGGTGTCTCAGTGCTCTTTCCTTCCCAAGTTCTCCATTTACATTAAAACAAAGTACGAAGACAATAATGGATCGAACGATCACGTGAGTCTCACGGGACCTTCCCAGTGAACACAGCATTTCATTTCACTTTAGATCATTGCGGACAATAAAACAACATCGACTGTTTAAATAGACATTCTATTTTTATTAGAAAAGTAATTCGGTTAATTTTTTTCACCGGAATAAGATTCAAATAATTCCTCTCGCTTTCACTTTGTTGTTGAACTCATTAATGATCATTGTCACCTCAATAATGAAGCTGCTACATTATCTGAAATTTTTACATGTGCTGTAAAGTTGGTCGGATACTTATTCTATGATTCTTTCGGTAAAGTCATGTAGATAGAAAAAAATAATAACAATACAATAATAAAAATTAAAATAAAGTGAATACAAAATAATACAAATATCACGACGCGATTAAAACATCATGATATTTTTAATTATTTTTATTCACTTTATTTTCATTTTTATTTGTTTTGTTATTATTTTTTCTATCTACGTGACTTTACCGAAAGAACCATAGAATATGAATTCCTGCAGTCACGAAAGTTTTAAGTCAAAATTTGGTCGGATACTGCTTGGTGCAATGATGAGCACAGTGGAGGACTTGTCATGCAGAGGTCTCCGGTTCGATTTGATCTCCTGGCACGGCAGTTGAAACAATGGGCAAGTTTCTTGACTCCCACCGCCTCTTTCTACCCAGCAGTCTAAATGGTACACCACGGTTATTTGATTGACAGGTCTTATGTGGGTACTCTCACCTCTTCAAGACCGCTGTTTCTGGAGTATCCAAAACTGACTCAGGACTAACTCAGGACTGCCAACAGAAGTTATTATAGCACAAAGGCAAAGATAGCCGTAAATCCTTAACAAACTGTTGGGGCAGGTGCTGTTAGCGAGCACCTCTGAAGGCCAGCATAGCACATGAGGGGGTGGGTGGCCAGCACCACCCCCGGCCGCCTTTGTCTCCCCAGTGGCGATATTTAAACACCGCACCAGGTGCCTATTTGAGGCTGAATCGACCTAGGGGAGGCCCAGCACTGGTTTTGGACCAGTGGAGACTAGGCTCGAAGAAAAGCCGTCTCAGGTGTGGACCAATCAAATTCAAGGACAGTGCATATTATTATCAGAGTTGTCTCTTTTGTTTGCATTTTGACTGCTTGTGTTGTGGTTATTGCAAACATGATGCCTTGAATAAAGGTGTCAGTTTTTGTGCCAGTTAAAAGGGTAAAACCTATTACTATATCTTGTTACTGGCAAAGGAGGTCTCATAATGTAAATGCTCACCCCGAGCCCTCAATACTCTGATAGTGCGCTGTTTTTGAGTTGTACGCCTTTTGGCGTCTTCTGGTCCAACACCAGTGGAGACTAGGCTCTAAGAAAAGCCGTCTCGGGTGTGGACCAATCAAATTCAAGGACAGTGCATATTATTATCAGAGTTGTCTCTTTTGTTTGCATTTTGACTGCTTGTGTTGTGGTTATTGCAAACATGATGCCTTGAATAAAGGTGTCAGTTTTTGTGCCAGGTAAAAGGGTAAAACCTATTACTATTGCTTGGCATTGTTCAGTTCCCGATGGTGCGGCGAGTGAGTCCCCACTGCACTGCAAATTATTTGCAAAGGCTCAAGCGGATGCTCATTTTTTCTTTAAACCTTACGCCTGCCGAATGGTGCGAGCACAATGTTTTCTTTTTGGTCGCTTTGCTTGTCTTACTGCAATTGTCGTGAGATTTGCCGTTTGGTTACAGATATTCTCTGATGAACAAAACAATGCCGACAAGGAAGTTTGCTCGTTGGATATTGCCTATGATGAAATCCCGGAGAGATATTTCAAAGAGTCGGAGGTGAGATATTAATCAATTAAGCTAGTGTTGCGTGACCATTAAGTTAGGATCTCATTTTCGATGCCCACGTAGAAATTTGATAGCAGGGTTATTTTTATGCTGGCTGCATTTAAAACTGGCAGGAGGTCAATATGATAAGTAACACTTTGTCGAAGTCTATAGTGGTGATTCACTTAATGCAATTGTCCCTCTTATAGGAATGCGAAGTTTCCATAACTGACGCAGGAATGCCAACAAAAATGAGCACTTGAGCGTGGGTTACCTTTGTTAAAAGTATTTAAAACACATAGGTTAACCCCCCCCCACCCCCAGCCGACTAGAGGTGTATAGATTAATATTGATTCTTAGTTGATTGATATTTATTACTACTCTTATAATGCATGAATATACTACATTATTTACATTCACATTAACATACAAAATATAAGAACAAAAAGGCGGTGGCTTATTCAAGTGGTGAGCGGGTACCACTGAGTACCTGGGTTCAAATCCAGGCAGCTTCCCCTGATTAAACTGGGTTTTCAAGTGTAGTGTGGTCTGAGCCCTTGTCACCAACGAATGCACTGCAATAACACCACTCTGAATTTGGTTCTGAACTGAAATTAGCTGAAATCCAAATTTGAGTATAAAAATACGATTTACCGTCATGTGACAAATGTTACTTTCTCTACCAGGGCAGTTGGAAAAGTGCTGCCCAATAATGTGCAGATGTGAGGTTACTTAAAGTGTTTTCAGAAGTAGTTCTGTGATTGCCGCTTCCATGGGCTGGCCTCTAACACAAACGGTTGCACTGCTGTACCAGTGATTTGAATGAATTCTTCTTCTCAATGCATAATGCTTACAGCACAATCGGGATACATTTGTGGAGTTCCAGTGTCCAGCCCATCTATTCACCCACCCACGTGGTGTTCTCCCCATATACATGTAAATCAGTGCCGTTACTGTCCAGGGTTAGTTGCTGCCAGCCAGTTCTGCAGTCTGCTCATGTCGGAAAAGATCGGTACATCTTATGAATCATAAATAAAGGACCTTTTTTGTAGTCCAATTGTACTTCATATTGTTTTTATGGGGCCCCTCTGTCTGTGCATAACACGAGCCAGGACCTACGGGGGTTCATGTCGACGCGCACGGCCCGCGGGCCGCTGCTGGAGGGCTGGCGGGATGACACGACGCCCGTCATGTGCTCCTACAAGCTGGTCACCGTCAAGTTCGAAGTGTGGGGGCTCCAGACTCGAGTCGAGCAGTTTGTTCACAAGGTGAGCCACAGGGTCACCAACTTCCTGATTTTATCGACACATTACACAGGCGATACGAATAGATTTTTTATTTTTTTACCAACAGAACATATTTGTTACACGTCAGATATCACCGTGATGATGATGTTACTTCCTCATATACATGAGTTTTGCCTGGGTACTTCAGTTTTCTCCCACATTTAAAACAGCAATGGCCAAATATCCCAATGCAAGGCCTACCTGAAAAAAGTGTCTTAGGACTCATTTAGGCATTCCTGGATAAATAATTATTATTACAACTCATCTTATTTTATAAAGCAGAAGGGATATTGGACAACTGTATACCGGGTTCAACCTTGTTAGGAATCATAAGCACAGTATCACCATCGTTGACCAGAAGTTTGACTAATTGGAGTTGGGGGTCAAGTGACAAGCAGTGTACGTGATGGTAGGACCGATCTCTTGGTCACCATCGTGGCTTTTGTTGTCTGGAAATCACCTCGTGTGTGGCATTGTTACTCTGCCAGCCTGCACGCATGCTCTTGTCCAATAGGTTTATTGTAATTTGCAGAGTGTGATTGTTGGCTTCTTGAGGCAGAGTGCTGTTTTGTGATGAGTAAGAGCATATCACCCTCTGCTGATACTGTCTGGCAGTGTCATTGCACAAAGCACCGCATGACACTGCATGGACAAGCTGACCTTGTATCATTTGTCTTCTCTTGCCTGACCTTTCTGGGGTTTTTCTCTGGCAGGCCATCAGGGATGTGCTCCTGACCGGACACAGGCAGGCCTTCGCATGGGTGGACGAGTGGTATGGTAAGGACGCTATCACAATTCCCCATTGTTTATAAGCAGGCGAGAGGCGATTGAGACTGAAAGTCTGTTTGTCAAGGGAGACCTGTGGTAAAAAAAAAAGTGTAAGGGATACCGAGAGGTATCCTTTACATACACTTTTAGTAAATAAATAAATAAATAAATATTCACTCACCAGGTCTAATGGCTCTGGCGTATAGGATGACGCTGAATCATCATAATCATTATTAGCATCACATGTGTGTTAGATAGCACATAATTTACCATGTTTGAGATTCTTAAATTACTCGGCACGTGTATAGCGGTCTAAGAAGTAGGTTGCTGACTATATTAACTGAATATTTTCCCCCCTAAACTGATATATAAATGAGTTGTCTCTAGGCAATCCAGCTTCCTCAAAAGCTATGCCCAGAGCTTAAGATCTCACTGAATATTTTACATGTCGCTGGAGGACTGGAAGGTAGCACGTGATTCGTATCCACTGCCATAGCAAGAGGTGTACTTGATTGTATGCCAGGAGCTCAGTCCTGGACAGCTCTGGCTGAAATTACACCCTGGCTATGCCGCCATTTTGTGCAGGAATGACGATGGAGGAGGTGCGGGAGTATGAGCGCAACACGCAGGAGGCGACCAACAAGAAGCTGGGCATCCTGCCACCTGTCATTCTCATCTGCGAGCCGGCCGTGCAGCCCGTCACACGCAGCGCGCCACCCAGCGCCCCCTCTACGCCCATCACCTCCGAGCCGCCCGACTTCCTGGGGCCGCCCAAGGAGCGCCAGCGCAAGACGTCGGCGCCTGAGACGCTCACACTGCCGCAAAGTCACTGCCGTCCGAGCAGCCTACCCTGACCGAGCCTCGACAACTGACTCGGCAAACTGAGGACCACCGCCCACCACCCTCTTGCGGTGCGGCAGTATTTCTCATCCGAAGAAACTCTCGCTTTGTAAATGGGGCCCAGCAGAAAAGAACACAATGCCAAAAACACAACCTTCCTGCCCACCATGACTCTGCTGCTTCTTGTATCTGAGGCAGATTGGCGCCAGGAGAGGATGTTTTTTCTGCGGTTCACACCCAGCAGCATCACCACCTTCGCTGTAACACTCAAATGAGCATCACCACTGACTGAATGTGGACTGCCTCCACTTCCTGGGGATATTCACAGATAATACACACACACGTACACTGGTGCCAATGGCCCGTGGCCTCATAACTCAATATAGCCACGCACACGTAGTTGCACAAGTTAGATGTTTTAGATTAAGTTTGGTGGGATGTCTGAGGTATTTTTATGGTCAAATGTAGAAGTTGCAATGTGCTTTTGTTGCCATAATTTATCCTGGAGTATGCCAAAAGTGGCCAAAAAAGAGGTACTTGCACTTTTGCTTCAACAGAAAGGATTTGTAAATTCATATTTTTTTACATTGGAAAGTTATATTCATAAATCTGAGTTTCCATTGCACTGTTTGGCTCAAACAACTGATGTTTATTCGATGCAAATTTGGAAAATGAACAAGAATAAAATGTAAAATGGGAGTAGGATATAAAATGTACACATTTATTAATTATTTTGTCAAATAATGCACAATAATAAACTCGGCTTTATAAAGCGCCAGCCATTCAAATTAAGAATCTCAAATATAAATATTTAAATAAAATAATGTCATGGCAGAAACTCTAATCAGAATGCCACTGGAAAATCAATGTGTAAATCACAGTACACATCACGCAGTAGCAGCTCTGTAGGTTGCCATGATTGTGCTGAATAGTTCTCCGATATGTTTTCGGGTCGTACTGTGCATTGTTTGGTACAATGTCTAACGTTTTGCTCCCAGCACGTGGAGTCAAACTTTGGACATGTATGTTTAACTTCTTTCGCGCACCATACATCCATTCGTGTTGATCGTACATCATATTGTACAATGCAAAGAATAACCCGAAGACACATCCAAGAGGCAAGTTATTCAACTCAAGCAAATACTTTCTGATGAAAATAAGTCACGTTATTTACCCTCCTTATTCATAACAATCCAGAATGAGGGGCAGTCAAAAACATTTGAGAGCGATTTGATATAAAACAAAAGTTACACCATCCCAGTGTTGAGCTTCTAGTCATATCATCGAATAAATAAATGTTAGAAGTGATTGTTTTAAACATTACAGCAAAGTGTTCATTGTCGGTTTGTGACTGCCTTTAGAATATTTTTCTTAATCCTGTATATATTTATACTGTAATATGTATAATTACAGTATAATTTTCACTTTCGTTTGGTCTTCTGTATTGGCTGTTTAGGTGACATGAATTCCCCCCATGCGAGAGGAGGTATTAAATGTTTGTCAGCTTTCGGAAGGGACAGAGGAATCATTTTCGACAAATCACGGTATATTTTTTAGTTCGTATTTCTTTTCTTATTCATGTGTGATGCAAATGCGAATTGTGCTGATTATGGACTCTTGAAATACACACCACTCAAACAGTAAGCTCAATACTCAAGTCAGTGGCCAGGTATGTAGATGTAATATATAGTGCAGTAGAATTCCTATTTGTGAGAACGTGATGGGGGTAGGAAGGTGTACTTGCTAGATCCCATCTGTAATCTACCCGGCAAGAACAGGCAGCCATTCGCCGATTAGAACACCCCCAACTTCTATAGAGTGGCTGCGCCCTTGGTCGAGTGATACACGCTATTTTCACGGAATCAGTCAAGCTCTCGAGTCAGTCAGGATACAGTCTGCTGACAGAAACCCTAAAAGCTCAATGCTTTATTGTGTTGACTTTGCTGAGAGCGGAGGCTTGAGTTCAGCATTGCATATGCCCCCAGACTTTCTACCGACATGGCAGTCGCGTAGCGCAGTTGGCATGGTCCTTGGGAAAAGAATGAAATACATAAATAAAGCCCTTGCGTGTCTGCGCTCCCAACTGTGTGTAGCCTGGCGCCTGTGCCCCAACGGCCTGTGGGCCCGCTGCAGTTGCATCGTCTGCACACTCGATAGCTATGCCACTGCCCCTCTGACGTTTACAACCATTTGCTGGTGCATGCTAAGCCAACTGTGTCTGCAAATATTAACCATTGAAACGCACATTCATTTGTTTACATTGTACGCATATAGCAGTACTAATTTACTCCACTTGCGTCGGAAGGTCTCCCTTGACCATGTCGGTCATTGGGGTTGTTAGACCTTACTTCACCATGCTGGTCAGTACGGAATGGTAAGGGAGTGGCCCAGCCACTTAAGTTAGCCGAAGGCAGGAATTGTACTGAGGTCGAGGGGCTCAGAGAGCAGTGCGTTAGCCGCTGCACCTCCACTCCACCCCATTGTATAGGAATATGAGGATTGGTAAAATGTATTGGGCAAGGACTGGAGGAGGGGAGGGTTTGTGCAAATTTGTGCAGGGTTATAAATATCCTCACTTCCAACAGACTCAAGCGTAATTTGATGTTCAAACTTAGAGTTCTGTGTTGTGGTACACTTTATATTTATTGAACATAATGCATGTTGCATAGTAAAATCTTTTTTTGAAATGTTAATACATAAAAGGTGAATTGCATTACGGTATAAGTCCTAAAACCATATTGTTCAGCTTTTATTTAATAAGGTACAATATTATTTTTAGCCTTTTATGAATAGCAAATTTCACATTACAAATTGGACGCTAAGCACTCGTGTATTTCTGTCATTTTATGGTTGCATACCATGGTCTTTATATGAAGTGGGTCATTATATTAAATAGAGATATGAATTGCGTTTATGGTTACACCCAAATGTGTTGACAGATTGTGACGCTGGCATGAATTGTAAAGTCTCGAATTTAGAGACGATTTGTCTCTTTACTGGCCACTTTGCCAGCTTCTCCACAATTTATCGCGCCAATAGGAATGCAATCTCTGACGTCAGTCTGACGACAGTCGCTCACAATTTGATTTGAATTGAAACAACCACTGCTGAAGCGCGTTGCTGTGTGAGCTTTTGTAGCATGATTCAACGTCTACTTCTGATTCCCAAGTAACACTTATGACACAAATTATTGTGCTGTCAGTGTCAAAACATGGATTAATGCAGTAGAGTATTCTGATCATGCATTCGCCTTGAGAGTCATAGTCGAATTTTTTTGGAAAACAGAATTTTGGTGAAAAAGGGTTACACTTTGGTTGGTTGACTGTCATCGTCACGCATTTAACTTACAATAACACATGTGGCGCTTTCGTGACTGCAGGAATTACTCTTTGTTTTTTTAGGTAAAGTCACGTAGAAATAGGAAATAATAATAATTACATAATAGCATACGACGTTTCGATTGCAACGCAAGCAATCATCATCAGGCATAGAAGAGCTAAATTTAAGAGAGGAAACACAGAACCGCAGATATATATACAGACACCTAAGTGGAGGGAGTTAACACAGAGACACAAAGAGACACAACGTATGGAGCAGAGAGAGGTAGGGTCTCTGTGCCGAGGCCTTAGCATGTAGGGGAGACAGAGAGATGGAGAAGCACATCAAATCGAACAAGATTTAGTAAAATTTGGAAATAATATAATGCAACACAGAGGGTCGTCAAAACACAATTAACGCATGGTATGGCTGATTACGTTATAATTTAGCAATCTTTGAAATAACGTAATCAGCCAGACCATGCGTTAATTGTGTTTTGACCGACCCTCTGTGTTGCATTATATTGTTTCCAAATTTTACTAAATCTTGTTCGATTTGATGTGCTTCTCCATCTCTCTTTGTCTCCCCTACATGCTAAGGCCTCGGCACAGAGACCCTATCTCTCTGTGCTCCATACGTTGTGTCTCTTTGTGTCTCTGTGTTAACTCCCTCCACTTAGGTGTCTGTATATATATCTGCGGTTCTGTGTTTCCTCTCTTAAATTTAGCTCTTCTATGCCTGATGATGATTGCTTGCGTTGCAATCGAAACGTCGTATGCTATTATGTAATTTTATTATTATTTCTTATTTTTACGTGACTTTACCGAAAAAAAACAAAGAATAATAACATGTTTTAAAACAAAAGGAATGTTTTACATCTAAAAAACATTAACAGTGAACAACACTTCAAAGGAACGGTGTTGTAGTAATTGCTGAAAGTGCTCCGGTAACCTTACATGGCTGCTAATTCTCATTTCAACTCAGAGCATTTGCTCGCTCTTGAAGACAGAGAAAGATTCGGAGGTACGAGGAACCACACAAGCGGGAAGGCAGCTACGCAGTGAGCCAGTGCCTAATTCCCTCCCAAGCTCTGCGGCCCTCTGCATATTAAGGCATTGTTGCCTAATTAATGAGTGTTTACATGTGGGAGGAAACCGGAGCACCCAGAGAAACCCCACATGTGAGGGGGCAACACTTTCCCATATTCACCAAACAGGTGAAGTCCACATGCTGTACTGCATTCTTCTGGCAAGCCAGGGATATGGCACCTCGACACTCACAGGAAAGGAGTTTAACAACACGTGTGTGATCCACCAACCCTCGCTGCCCCCACAGTGCTGAACAGAGGAATGCGTAGCCATCACTGCCTGGCTACCTTGTTGCTTATATAACTAATTTAATTTGTACATTTAACACTTTTTCAGTATTACAAACAACCACCTTTAAGTGATGCACTTCAGTTAGTATTGTAAATCTCACTGGCAATCTTCAATTCATATGTTTGTGTTATCGATACACGAATATGTGTACATACTGATGCAATGTTCTGTATATACAGGTATTCTAATAAAACCCTTTGTATAGCCTCTAATTGTATCATTTTAATGCTGTTAATGCTAAATTACCACTTTTTTAAACGCTGCATCTGTGATGTATTATACAGCCAAACCTCTGATATTGAGTCCACCTTGAATGGGGATCTAAACACCATGGAGGTATCGTTCCTGAAATGGAGGCTCAAGCTAAACCCCCACAAAACAACGGTCACTGCATTTAATTCCCATAACAGGAACACGAAGTGCACCCTGAAAGTGTCCTTTCACTGCAACACTTTTCAACAAGACTGCACTACGACCGATCCAGGAGTGAAGCTGAACCGTACGCTAACCTTCCACGACCGCCTTAAGGAGGAAGTCGCTAAGATGAAGACAATGGTCAACCAGGTCCAGAAACTTCCAAGCACAAGCTGGAGAACTTCAGTATCAGTGCTACGGACATCAACGGTGGCCCTCCTTATGTACTGCATCGCTGAGTGCCATGCAACACCGGTATGGACCAGAAATAGCCACACTCGGCTGGTTGATGTCCAACTGAATGTTGTGATGTGGCGGTGCATCACTGGAATGCTCAAGTCCCTCCCAACAATGCTCCCCATCCATTTTCTGCGACGCCACAACCGTGTTCGAAGTCCAACGAATCGTGGAAAGCGAAAGTCTCCTTATCCACCAGGAGCTCAGTAATTCTCCTCACCACCACCTGAAGTCATGCAAGTCCTCTCTGGACTCATGCGCTTAACCTTCAACAATGCAACTGCAACCCTAATGATGCTTGGAAAGCCAAATGGAGTTCACAAGAAGTCACAACACCCCCTGAAAGATCTGACAGAAGATCCCTGGCTTCACTACACAAATTATAGTGGATACTCTTTGGTTCTTTCGGTAAAGTCACGTAGGTAGAAATTAAATAAAACAAATCACGACGTTTCGATCGCAACACGATATTTTTTTATTGCTGTGGTTGTTCCACCTGATGAGGATTGCTTGTGTTGTGGCCGAAACGTCGTGAGAATTTTATTGTGTTATTTTATTTTATTATTTTATTCTCATTCTACGTGACTTTACCGAAAGAACCAAAGAAGATTAATCCTTGCAGTCACGAAAGCTTTAAATCGAAATTTAGTATTAGGGTTTGAGAATTACCAGTATTAACTACAGTATGTTATCCTTTACAGTGTACAATGCTAAAACCCCTCCTACTTAATATATCACAAACTAGCAATTCAAAGCCAAGCTTAAAGACTAAAACAATTCCATAATTCTTCTTTGGTTCTTTCGGTAAAGTCACGTAGAATGAGAATAAAATAATAAATTGATAAAATAAAATAACACAATAATATTCTCACGACGTTTCGGCCACAACACAAGCGGCCTTCATCAGGTGAAGGGACAAGACTGTCTGGTAGGACAGCGCTGGAGTGAAAAAGCCACGTTCAGATCACGACCTTTAAGCTGTGTGAGAGGAAACAAAGTGCCTTGACAAAGGAATTAGCATATAGTTTAGCATTGAAATGGCTGAGTGATTAGCTTGTGACTGGTCACAG